CCGCGTGCGTCACTTCTGATCGGCGCATGCGCAAAGCCGATTTTTATTTAAGTTCTTTTGGACTGAAGCAATGCAACACCCGCTGAGTGGCATTAAACAGCTTGAAAGATCAAAGACAATTTTTAATATAACTCCGATTGGATTCGTCTGAAAGAAGAAAGTCATATACACCTAGGATGCCTCGGGGGTGAGTAAAACGCAGCCTAATATTCATTTTTGGGTGAACTAACCCTTTAAAATAGTTCATAGAGTGCATATTTGTGATTTACTTTATGTATATAAAAAAATCTAAACAGTCGTTAGTTGCAGCCCTAGAGACAAATAAAGAGATGGACAATAAAGTGGGAGTACAAAAAGATGGACAGAGAAAGGGTAAAAAAAAAAGCTGTAATAAAGGCTGTAACGTCCCTGACACACACACACACACACATATATATATATATATATATATATATATTACATCAAACATTTAACAATAATAAATAAATAATGATAAATGAATGCATACTGAAAAGGTATTTATTATTTTTTTTAATAGATATGTTTTAAACGGTTTATGTAAAATATTTGATATGTAATTGTTACGTATCCGGTCCATGAACTTCCGTCTGCTAGCCATCAGAGGTCACTTAAAAATCATTCATTTGCACATGTAATAATTTCATGCATTACTGCAGTCCCTCTTTCAGTGCCTCTATTTATAATAAGAACAAATCACATTTCATTCACTCCAAATAAACAGACTCATCAATCTGAAACTGTGGGAAACCAGTGGCTTTGGCAAATATCACTAATTTGAATTAAGACTGAGATTTTAGGGTAGCTGTGAAGGCCCTCCATTGTTCTCAATACCTATTCCCAGGGCAGGGTGGGGGTCGTGAAGGAGGGGGTCCGCGGGGACCTGGGGGTGCCCGGGCTGAAACATTAAAATAATATATTTATTATTATTATTATTATTATTATTAATTTATAAGCCAGCATGCATCAAAAAAACTCACCTGTTACAAAATAATTTTGTAAACAGTTTTAATGGTTGTTCAAACACCTGTATTTGTTGCAATGTTCAATGGGACCCTGGTAGATAGCACCACCTTGCTAGTGGTCCCCAGGTAATTTGAGTTTGAGACCCCTGATGTAAAGCCTGTAGAATCTTGTAGCCTGCTAGGGGCCATCCACAGTAGTTAAAACAGCATATGGACAGATTTCTCTTCCCCACTCCCTCCACCCACATCTGCACAGTATTCATGAGTCTCCATCCTCATTTGGCCCATATGTTCACCCTTGTGCAGGCCTGTTGCTGTGCTGCTCGCCAAATTGTCCTTTTCGCCGCTCACGACTGGCAAAATGATGGCTTTGCCCTACAGCCAGACAGACGTGAATCAATCACCCCCCGACCCCCAATCTGACAATAGCCCATCACAATAAAACTCAGCTCCCCCTTTGCTGAATGGGCCCCATGTCACGTTATGGGGCTTTCTGTTTAAGCTGTTAAATCAGACCACCAAGCATTGGTCTAATGCAGACCCACATGAAAATGGAATCCCTGAGAACAATCAGAGGAGCATGTCATTTACCTAAACTCGTAAATTATGTTAAAAAGCCACTTCCTTCTGTTAACCAGAGTCTTTCTAGTCACAACTTTAACATCTCTGTGGGTCATTAGGAAAAGCAAAACAAAAACACTCTCTGTTCCACAGAGTTGCTTTGTGTGAAATGTAGATGGCACTCAGACGTGAAGGGGAAGATACTGAGCATTTGAGGTGAAGCTTGTAAACTGGCCAGACAAAGACTTTCAACAACAACAGCTTCTTTCTTTACACAACTACTATAAGTGAGCAATAAAACAAGGCTGCCACCTCTGCATCACAATGTGTGCACTGAGGCCTATGGGTAAAAAGTTTGACCCGGATTCATCCATATGACACATTGGTTCAGGTTATACATGTTAATGTTTAACATTCATTTAAAATACAAGATTGTCAATGTGACTTCTATGACTTAAACAACACTGTTCAATTTATTTCAATTACTTGCATTTATAATGTAACAACAATATTTCTGAACTAACAAAATGTCAGCAGAGACAGAAACTGCTGAAGCCAATAGAAAAATGTCAGAAATAATAACGAGATTTGCACTTCCTGGAGAAAAATAGTGTTTAGTAGACAACAAAAGATTACTGTTGGTGTTTTATGTAAATATAGGTTTCAGGGTTTAGTTGCACACAAGTTAAATGATATATCTGAGTCGCTTTACTGCTGACATTGCCCTTACAAAATGTTACCATGCAGTTTCTTCCAGAATTCTTTAGTTTTTTACATTTGCTACAGCAGTGGTGTTCTGAAATGGGGAGGCAAAGTCCCTTTTTTCTCAAATTTTCAAACCAAGTAAAATTGTCTTGGTTAAATAAACATAACTTACACTATCAGAAAAAAGAGAAAGAAAAAATTATATTTTTACATTAACAATGTAATTAATATTCTATTTATTAAAGCCAGTATGAATCTCATCAAGCATTTTTCATTTATTCCAAAATAATAACTCAAGGCAATAACAATTTAAACTATATATTTTATTTGATAACTTCAGTTAAGTTCAGAAACGTTCAGTTATTTTTTAAATGGTTAATTTTTAAATATTTTTGAATTTTCCGGATCATCAGTCATCAAAGCTCCGTAAATATTGGTCACAGACACAGATATTTACCTTAAATTTCACCAAGCTGATTACTCACTAAAAACTTTTTAATGTCATATTTTGTAATATTTGCATTGTTTTATTTTTGTACTACATTTTTTTTCTTATCCAATTTTTTGCCTCCTCGGAGGAAACACCCCTGTGCTACAGTGTAATCACAATGAACTAATATTAATATGTGACCTCATCCAAACACTGTAATACATTTTCGCAATCTGTCATCTTTATGTTTTTATGTATGTGTATGTATGTATATATTTATTTGTTTGTAGCTATACATAAGTAGCTAATTCCAAATTACCACTGTTTAACTGTACTAACAGTAAATGTAGTAACTATGGTATTTTAGTGGTAACTATGATTAACTTTTTTACAGTTTTTTACAAGACCAATCAAGAAAAGAACAATTCAGCATGCAAACAGATGTAAGAAAGACAAACAATTACAATCCAGAATGCAAATAATGTGATGACATCCTGTTGGTTGCAAAATGAATGCAGACATCTGAATGCAGAACATCCTATTAGTGTAAATCAAATGAATTTTTGAAATGTAATGTTATACGATTTAAATTAAAGTTTCTTTAAAAATATAAAGAGTAACAAAAATGCAAATGTACAGGCTAAAATCCTCAAACCAAACGTTCAAAATAGCATGCAGAAGTTCAATACTTATGCTTGGGGTTTAGAACAAATTACATCTTGAAATATGTATTGTAACGGGAGAAGGATGTGAGCTAGTTCATAACAACCACTTAAACAATGTGTCTGACAAATATCAATACAGTGCTGCATGGCAAGAAATATGATAGTCTGTTTAGTTGCAGTCCATCTTTGAACTCTTCAAGACCTCAACAATATACATAAGAGGCCCTTTGGTAGGAATAGAAACAGGAAAAGACAAAGAGGATACAGAGATGGAAGAGACAGTGAATCAATCACAGCTAAGAAATGCAAAGAAAGATGGGTTATAAAGAGAAAGATGTGGACTAATATAGAGATTAGGCCATCTATAGCTGAGCAGAGGTCTTGTTTGGGCACAGCAAGTTGTTTGTGTCTGCTGTCTAGGCATTGTGCTGCAGGTGGGCATGAAACACACAACTACACCCCAAATCTCCCTGAATAGCACAGCTGTTTCCACCCAAACCCTGTCCTTTACAGAGTCTGCTGCCTTTACCAGAACCTTCTAAAGCTCATGCAAAATACATTGAGCAGCTGGACACTGGCAGTCCCTCAGACAAGCAGCCTATTATGGAGCCATGAAGAATTAAACCAAAGTAAATCAGATCGGTCCATCTACAGTGGGAACGGAGCTATAGCCCGCCCGTGTCAATGGGATCATACTGTACAGTCTGCGACACTGCAGCCCACATGAAAGATGCCTTTCATAGACACACAGATGTGTTGCCATGACACAGCTTGTGCTGATGGAATAATGCAGGGTGCAGAGAGCAGGGCTCAGACACTGAGGGACGTCTCTTACAAAAGGCACAAGAGAATGAGAGCTACTGAGCATGCTTAGAAAGGATGGGAATGTCATAACAGCTGTATTCAAAATACAAATGAGCTGCCTCGCCTCCTTCTATGGCAGCACCCAGTAAGCACAGATTTATACAGAACCCACAAACTTTGGATCAAATATTCATATTTACTTACAATGGAATCATATTTAATCAGAAATAAGTCTCTTATGCTCACCATTGCTGTATGTATTTGATAAAAAATACAGCGAACACTGTAATATTCTAAAATATTATTACAATTTTAAAATATCTTTTGTATTTCAAAATATTTTATAACGTAATTTATTTCTGTGATGGCAAATCTGAATTTTCAGCAGCCATTACTCCAGTGTCACATGATCATTTGGAAATCAATATGATGATTTGGTGCACAAGTAACATTTCTTATACTTATTTTTTTTGTGGAAACCGTAAGCAATCTATTAGGATTATTTAATGGATACAAAGTTCAAAAGATCAGATTTATCTGAAATAGACATTTTTTGTAACACTGTAAATGTCTTAACTGCTACTTTTGATTATTTTAATATCTTAATAAAAGTACTTTAATACAACAATATATTAAGGCACTTTATATTAGACATAAACACTATTACAGAATAACAAACTGGAGCTGGATTCGGTCATTCAAAAGAGCAGCTTATTCAAAGAATCTATAAGATAAACAAAGGCACTATGAAAAATGGAAATGTTATCCATAATATTCAAGCACAATTATGCATCAGGTCTCTATTCTGTGGAGTATTATTTTTCTGTATTGGAATATCTGTAAGTTGAATGGTCATTGTACCTGATCTCCAGGCTGAGGTCTCATGAGTGACACCTGGTCGTATCCTCGACGGAAAAGGGCCCACAAAGCATCCAGTTTCCCCTAAGACACAGAACTGTTCTATTAAAACATTTTGGACTTTAAAATCTTAAAGTCTAAAATATTGGACTATTATAGTGTTTCTTTCTACTGATATTCCAGGGCTAATTTAGTGATAATTTCATATTCAATTCTATGGAAAAAACTCACATACCTGAATAGGACTGTACCACTTTCTATGATGGGCAGGTCTGCGCCCATACAAATTTCTGAGTTTAGGTTCATAAGGCTCATATTCATCTTCAGGCATTTTCACTACAGCATTCTTTGGCTTCTCCAGTTTAGCTCCTTCCTCCGTGGAGCCCTTGTCCCCCCAACGCACCTAAAGACACAGGAAAACAGTCCACTTATAACCAACACAGACTATGGAAAAATGGTTGTTTCACCATAAAAATATTATTAAGGAGCTGTGTTAGTGTGGCTATACATATATAGAGCTTTTCCTTGGGGCAGTGGAAAGGCTTGCATGTTTCAATGATCCTGAGACCAACAGAGCAAAAGACACTTCACGCAAGCTTGCATTAACACTAATGTCTTTAAGTAGTGCACTTAACAAGTAATAGGCACTGGAACTGTGAAAAAGGTGTGTGTATTTTTCAAAGAACAATAATGCACATGTCCAATATTGCTACCTTTGCAAATTACAGGAGTAAATCTACAGGCGTCAGCATGTCTTATGATGTCACATGATCTAGTTTTGGCACCAGGCAGACAGGGACCATTTAAGGTCACAGTGATGTGCTCTAGTGCCTTGAGGGTTCATAACATCACTCGTCATGTGTGGTCTTCATCCCCCTGTAGCCCATGTTAACCTATGATCAAGACACCCTATATAAAGCCGAAACACACACACTGTGTACAAGAACATGCATCACCTCCATTCTTTTGATTCCACCGACTCCTCTTCCTCCATAGTAGGATGCATCTACTGTAGGCCATTTCTTTTTGGGCATGCCATCTTCATCATCGGGTTCCTGTTGAGCGCACAAAACTTACATAAACCTAATATCACACTAGTAATACTTAGCATAGAATGACCATACTTTAAAGTCATGTTGAAAACAACACTCTTTTTCTGTTATTTTGTATAAATTCACTATTAGCATACTCAACCCATTAGTTTACACAGATAGAATAAACACAAAGACACAGTCAAATAATGTTAGCTGCGAAAGTAGCAACCACATTGTGTCTCCAAATCAAAGAGAAGCTTTAGAGACAGAGTGCCTTGTTTGCGCTCTCAGTGTTAAGAAGCACAGATGCACACTCAAAAGCCATTTCCACAAAGCTCTTTTATTTCCCATCAGCCTCAGTGACTGCTTGCCTTTGACCTCTGGGAACAAAGCAAACACAAGAGGATCATTATGAGTCCTTTTTCCAGAATTTTGCTATTCAGTCATCCTACGGTTGAGCCTGTGGTCCCCGCTGTGTCCACTTTCACTGCTCACTTGACGGACAATTTTGCAAAGCAGTTGCACTCCTAGCTAGCAGCTGATATTGGCAGCATTAGGGAATGCGGTTTACAAGGAATGATGCCATTTCTGGGACACGCTGGATTCAGCTTATGAGAGTTATTCGTTTTATCATGTGCAAACTGTTTTCTTAGTGCCCTGATTCATATCGGCTCTAAATTTCCATGGTTCATTTGGGTGTATGGTTGTGCCTAAACACACACACATACACAAACATAGGCACAAAATGAGGTTAGAGGGAGTTCGACTCACAGGCTCAGGGGGAGGGGCTGGAGGCACTTCCTTGATGACCTGAAAGAAAAATTATTCCCAGTGAAAGAATATTATCTAAACTAAGAGCAGTACAGTATAACTAGTAGAGCTATAAACAGTACAATAAGCATTATATTGCATATAGCACTGGGGGAAGGTACAAACATTATTAAATCATTGTTTGAGTATGTGAATAACACAAATAAATGTATGTTTTATAATAATAATAATAATAATACATTTTTTTATTCATTTCATTTGAATGAACAATTCATTTTCAAAATCATTGTTAAATCATTAAGTGTGTGAATGACACAAATAAACACATTATTTATTTATAACAACAACAAAAACAGCAACATTATTATTATTACTATTATTATACCGATATTGTTAAATGATTGTCTGAGTGTGTGAATAACACAAACAAATGCATGATTTATAAATAATAATAATGTTCTGATATTGTTTAATCCTTAATAATAATAATTATTATTATTATTAATTATACTGACATTGTTAAATCATTGAGTGTGTGAATGACAAATAAACACATGATTTATAATAACAACAACAACAACAACTACTATATTATTATTATTATTATTATTGTTATGGTTACTCTTTTCAAAGCTTTTGGTTGAATAATGTGATGTTTAATTGCCCAGATACCTTTAGGGGCCACTGTAAATGTTTATTGTGTACAGCTTTTAATTGTGTACAACCTTTAAGACGTACCACTGTACAGCACAGAGGCCAGAACCACCACATCAGCACCAGACCCAGCAATAGGAAAACAGCCAGTAACGAGATGAGCAGGATGGTTCCATCATACTGCACGCAGAGAGACACACACATACATCTTCATGAGTATTTGCTGGCATAACACAAATGAACAGGTGAGGAGATTAAAGAAGAGGGCAAATGGTTGCTCCAAGCGATGGAACTTGTTTTTTCACTGCTAATTTGAACTTACGTGACAAAACCAGACTCCTCTGATGAAAGAAAGCAGAGGAGACCTCATAAGAGAAAAATAAAGAATAAGAGAAAAGGGAAAAGAACAAAATAGTAGTAGACAGCAAACAACAATGTCGAATAGACATTCTGAGAGGCCGAATCACTATCACACCAATCCACCATTCATGTTTTTACAGGCAGAAGTGGTTTTGACAAAGGAACAAAGATGTACTTACACATTCAGTAGTGGTGATGTGCACTGAGCTTGTGATGTAGGACAAACCCTCATTCATGCTAACCTGCAGATATATCACCCTGTAACACACACACAAAAACACTTCAATCACACCTGCTGAAAAAGGCATATTCATTGCATTTCTCAGATGGACATGTGTGAGCTTGCAATGGAGTTATTATTAAAGCCATTATCAGCATTTTCTCGTTCAAATTTGTAATCCGGAGCCAGGATTAAAAAAGTAAATGGTTAATGTCTGTTTCACACAGCTGCCTGAATGACTTCCAATGCATTCCTCTTTGATGGATAACAACACAGACCCTCAAAGGCCAGCGGCTGAAAGCATGTAGGCACAGGAACTTGACTGATAAGCGTTATCTAAGGTAGAACTATACTTTGTGTGTCTAAACTGTTTTTACCCCAGGATGCAAACAACAAGGCAAAAGAAACTGGACAAAATGATTAGACAGGATTTGTGATTTGATTCTGAGATCTGTTAAATATTTCAAATGGTTCTCAACGTCACAAATAAGATTCAATGGGAATCAAATGGAGACTTTTGCTTAATTCCCCTGCTTTTCAGATTTTTCTTCCAATAAAAGGCCCTTAAAAATTGCACCAGTGTTGGATCTAAAGTGTTAGAAGAGATCTAAACATCTCTTGTAAATGATCTAAATGTTTCATACTGGGGTCAAATTTGCTTGGAAACCAAAGTCTGCATTCAATTTTTATGCTCACCAAGGCTCCATTTATTTGATCAAAAATACAGTAAAAAGAGTAATATTGTGAATTATTATTACAATTTTAAAAAACAGTTGTATATTTCAATATATAGTATATTTTAAAATGTAATTTATTCCCATGACATTTCTTATTCTATCAGAAATTTCCAAAAATAACTGAATTTATTTGAAATATAATTCATTTGTAATATTATAAATGTCTTTACTCTCACTTTGGATCAATTTAACGCATCCTTGGAGAATAAAAGTGCTAATAAAAGTGGGAAAAAAAATCTTACTGACCCCAAACTTTTGAATGGTAGTGTAAATATATATTATAAATAGAAAAATATTATATTAGTTCTATGTAATAGTAATAAAATGTGATGTGGATTTTAAACTGGATAAGATCTTCAGTAAAACATCATATTTTAAAATCTTGAGATGAGAAAGAGACGAAAAAGCAGAGTTTGTCATGTGACTGATAACAGTCTATGAAGACATATTTATGGACATCAAAACTGACAATGTGTCCATTTCCCCTGACAACTTTCTAAAAAATGGAATTTCTCCCAACAGCAGGGATGCTGCCATGTTTGGCTCTACCATGGGCATTCAGAGCGCTGGTATTCACTGGTATCCAGTGACAGATCCATCTCATTTTCCATCAATCAGGAAGCGACTGGCTCTTTTTGAGCACATCTTCAGGAGGCCACTCAGTCACCACGCGTTTAGGTGACAGCACTGACAGCTTCGTCTCACAAAATCGCCTTTTCTCACCCCTCAAAAATTAATGAACATTACTCACATGGTCTTCTACAATCAGATTATACAGACATCACTGATTTAATGGTTGGTCTTATTATACCACAGCATCAAAGTTTGCATAAGAGGATGGCATTTTTAATTTCAAGTGATTCTCCATTGACTCTAATTAGCCTGAATAATTCCACCCCTCTTGTTACTGGATTATGATGGAATGTTTCATCTCCATTTTTCCCTTATATGAATACATACCACATCTGCTTGACTTTTGAGAGACCTAGACCCTAATCTAATTCAATAATCACTAAATCAGACTCTAATACCACAAGATGGTATCCAGAAATATCATTGCAAAATAAACATCATCTTACCAATACATGACTCTCCCTTTCTCACTTTCGGCTGCTATAATTAAATATTTTCAATGTTAACTAAAAACTAAAACTAAAAATTATTATTAAAAAATATAAAATATAAAAAATAAAAAATATATTAAAAACCTAAAATTAAAAAAACTGAAATAAAATTAGTTTAAGTTGTGCTAAAATGTACTATTAAATATAAATTGAAAAAAAAAATGACAAAATCAGATAATTGCTAAAACTTCCAACCAAAAAATACTATAATGCTATATAAATAATACTAAAATAACACTGCTCCTGTTAGAGGTCACCAACCACAGTGGATAATCCACCTATTTACTTGGCATGTTTCATGCCAAATTATTACATGACTGTTCACCAACTAAATAAATAAATAAATATGTGAGCATGAAATATTGATTTTATCAATTAATTTTTTTTGTAATCTTACCTGAATATTATCTAAAAGCTTCCGCTAATAAAATAACAGTTAATTATATTCAGTAATATTAATACTGAAATATTTTGAGGTCATTGTCACTATAATAAATAAATCAGACCGTTGCGTTTGCATGAAACGAGAGAGAGTCTGCGGTATGATACGAGAGAAATGAAAATAGTGCTGGTTTCAGTTACTGGATGAGCTGATTGATAAAAAGTATTATATTATTAAGAAATCTTACTAAGAATATTAAGAAATATCAGACTGCTGGATGGCGCAAATGACCAGTCAGAACTGAGTATTCTAGTGAGTCGTAATAAATAAAAATATTATGTATTCTATATTCTTGGGCAATATTATTATTAATCCACAATTAGGCAATTCGATTATATCCGATAACAAATATTGCTAAGAACGCATGAATTAATCAAAAGTTTTGAATAAATGGAAAGTGCTGAATATTGATATACCAACAGCAGCTGCTTTTGTGTCACATTAGCAAATGCAACGCAATACAGTATGCAGTGATGTAGGCTGACCAAAAGTAGAAAAACAGCCCTGTTTTGCTTAAGGTGCCATGAGAGGCTCCTTCATTGGCATCTCAAAGAATCTTCCTGACAAGAACAAGACAGATGAAATCCTCAAGGTGTCTACAGCTGGCGGTACACATAATTATTCAGAGAGCTTGCAGGGAAATGAGCCGCCACCAGCAGCTCATTTGTTGTAGAAGGCCTGGTAAGTAACCTGTAGTGAGTCTCCGGGGCTCTGCTCTGGCTGATGTGGATATGAGCGGCTCTGTATTTCACTGTCTGTTCTTTTCTCTCTCAACTCAGAAAACCACCAGAGCCCTGGGCCAACATGCATACTCACTGGGAACTTTTCACGCAGGTCAAGCCCATGGTGACTAATCTCTCAGAGAGGCTAATTATACACTCATCTCAGGCTTTTTACACCACATGCCCGTTGTCTCGATGTGTTAGGGTGCGTGGAGATTGACTGATAAGAATAATTCCAAACGACATTGACCCTAATTTTTTCAAGGGTACCAATGCATTAAGCTATAAAATGGCAGGATGAAGTGCACTTACTTTCCAGCCTCATTTAAGATTGGTGCAGGGCAAAGAAGGAGCGTATCTTCAACACTGACAGGTCTTTCATCTGAAAATGAATTGCATGAAAAAGAATAAGATACATTTTCACTGATAATCATCATTTAGACCTACTCTCAGGGTAAATACTTTATTATTGCTATAACATAAATGGCCGTTTATATAATAAAAGAATGTTGCACACATTATTTTTGTGTTTTCATAGAGCTTAAAAGAAGAATGCAACATTAAAAAGACTGTTTGTAAAATAATGTTACTTACTCAGTGTAGCTGTGTCATTCACTCTGAAGCTGCACAGGACCTGATTAATGTTTCTGGCATGCAAAAATCCATTTCCCCTCACAACCACTTGGAAAGAGTCTTAAAGAAACACAAACCAAAATGTAATAATAAACATTTACCAAGTCATTTTACTGCATAGTGAAATTCCTATGTTTTTTTCCCAGAAAAATAATTTAACCAAAAATTAGATTAAATAGCGTTTTTATGTACTGTTTATATTGAAATAATTTTAAAGTATGAGAAAAATGCCTACATAAGGCTGTGCCGACTTTTTAGATCTTTATTTCATGTAAACCTTTTCCAAAAAAAAAAAAAAACCATGCTCTAAAATTATAAAGTGTGCTCAGCCAGAGGGCAGGGTTTTTTTCTCTTCTTTTTTCTCTCCCCCCCACTCTTAACCTTTCAGGAACACTCAACTCAACTGGGCAAATGCATATGCTCCAGTGGTGCTAATAATAAAAGTGAAGAGCTTCACAAATCTCTAGGAGTCATGTAGCTGGAGGTGCTGTGTTGGTGGCCGACAACGCTGGCTGCCTGACCTTTGAGACCCCCCAGGCAATGCTGTAGACCCTCTGACGGCTGCTAAGCAGCATATGTTAGAGAGAAAAACCCGCTCACTTAGAAGCTGTCTCAGCAGGCGTCAAAGGATGCAGAGTGGATGTGACCTTACTCATGGCACTGCACACACCAGTGTGCATTTGAGGAGATTTGAGTGGATTAGTACTGATTCTGCCGTTCATCTCTAAATAATGCTACACCTTTAGAAAATGTTCTGGTTGTAAACCTTTAACATTTAAGTGTGTAAAGTTCACATGATGAGAAACATTCTGTGCGGTGTGCCATCAGGGAGAGACAGTTGTATGGAAAGGTCAGGAGAATATATTGTAAGTGTCAGTTCTCTTCTTCTGTATCACACCAGCATTTGAAGCTTCAAATCATGAATATAGTAGATTTCCTCTTTTACTTTTAATAAATAAACACCTAAAAAACTTTAAAGTCAATGTAATTTGCCATTCACAACTAATTTACTTTCGTGAAATAAGGATATTCAACAAATATGCTAAAAATATGGGACAACACTTGGATGGATTTTATTCATCAGAAATTGTTAAAAGTGGGCATTAGATACCAGGAAGGAGCCAACTCTGAACGTGAGTTTGCCAAAATAATGCCAAAATAATTATAATATCGGTTAACATCATCCAATTTCCCTCATGGCCTAAGTGACATCAGCAGAAAAGTAAAGCTGTTTCAGAGAAAGATTTATTACATTTTTAATAAAATTGTGATGTAATGGAAGTAGCAACAGATGCTTTATCCTGGGACATACATACAAGTGAAATGGATTAGCGAAAAAGAAAAAAAAACAGACTAAATGACAAAAGAAGCCTGGCATACATCACCATAGAGAAGTCTGTCGTGTCACTGGAAGATTAATTTATGATATTTTTAGTTAAAAATTACGAGGTCCAAAATAAGTAAGTAAATAAATGACTAAATAATGTATGCATGGATGAATTTTTAACAATAAGATCAATAACAGGCATTTATAAAATAGATTTGAATTTTCATTTCATGCGAACTTTAAGGATTACAAAGACAAATGTATTCTTTGGAGTAACATGCAACAATGAATCCATCACAATAAGGCCAGGAGTGTGCATTAACAATGTAAACAGGGTCAATTTTGTTAACTCTAAAGATCCTTCATTCAGTATATGTACATAGACCTGGCGAACTGAAAAGGCTGATCATGGGAAAATTTGAGTCAAAACAATTCTCAGCATGTCTCTTGTCTCATCATGGATCTACCAAAACAAATTCCACTCCCATCCGATCCAATTAACCTGTCATTTCCTCTCTAATTATACTAATCCTGTCTGCCATGCAGAAGCCCCTCTCCACCCCACCTCTGCGTCTAAATTTGCCCAGCTCTCTTGCTCATGCCTGCTTAATGTGACGTCCATAGAGCTGAAATGGCTAATTCCATTTAATTTTGGAAGCCGGGCATCAACATCCATGTCCTTTTCTTCCCTCGTTACTGTCAGACATGGTGTGTCGGGTTCTGACAGGACAACGCAGGGGTAAAAAGGTCAACACTGGCTTGGCAGCGGGCAGCGCTGGCAGCGAGATGGTGGGCAGGGGCTGGTACGCTGTCTGCTTGCGCCCGTTGTGCTGCACGGGAGAGCTGACGCTTCCCATCCACACCTGAGAGCTTGATGGCTTGGGCTGTTTAGAGCAGAGGTGCCACGTCCGAGCATGGACACTTCAATCACTGCTCTAACTGGGGGATGGGGCGCAGAGGAATCACAAAGGTTAATCAAAGCAACGATTGCTGTCATGTTTGATGGCTGGGCCTCCTCACAGAACAGCGAGTGATGGCCTGTTTGCAGGCTGCACGGGCTGGTCACTTCTCATCAGTTTGATCGCTGAGACTGTCAGGCACGGGAGCTGCGGTCACAGCACACTAAACCAAACCACTAACCACAATCAGATTAGCCCAAAAGTAACCCAAAATTGTCCCAGATTGTCCCATGTTTCATATGAATCTTCGGCTAAACTGCAATATTTAGAGGAATATAATGCACTTATGGATGTATGAGTAATTACTACAGTGCATTACTTCAAGGATTGATTTAATTACAACAATATGTTTCATTAATGGCATTCACTGCCATTTAATGTTTCCAATAAGGATCATGTTAATGGACACTAAACCAAACCAAATCAGTCAACTAAAACACCAAACCAAACCAAAACACTAACCACGATCAAATTAGTCCGAAAAATGAGTCCCAAGCTTCAAATGCAACTTTGGCTAAACTGTAATATTTAGAGGACTATACTACATGTATGGCTGATGGTAATTTTCACAGTGCATTACTTCAAGGATCGATTTAATTACACAACAATATGTTTAATTAATTACGACATTCATTGTTATGCAATGTTTCCTTTAAGGATCATGTTCATTAATCACGTTAATCTAAGTGACTTGGGGTCATTAACTGTTTTGTTTTGGATTAGTGGTTTTAAAATAAAGAAATAATACAAGATGATGGTTAAAGGGATAGTTTATCGTAAAATGTAAATGATTTAGCCTTATGTTGTTCTGAAAGTATTTATTTCTTTTTGCTGAACACAAAAGAAGACATTAAAAAATATTTCGTTTTTAGTATCTTTTTGTCCTTACAGTGGAAGTCAGTGCAGTCTATTGGTGTTTTGGACAACACTGACTTTCATTGTATGGACAAATACAGTTGAAACATTTTTCAAAATATCTTCTTTTATGTTCCACAGATAAAGATTAATACGGGTGTGGAACAACATGAAGACGAGTAAATGATTTACATTTCTGGGTGAACTATTCCTTTAAAGCTAATTTAATACAAATAATGACAATGATATTAATAATTTGTATTTAAATAAACTCGTAAACTAAAATATATCTTAGTGCTAAGCCACAAAAGTATAAGTGTGTGGTCAAACTACAGGGATATTGTTGTTTTAACCACCATCGTTTGCCAGTGGTCACTGTGTGCCCTCTCTCTCTCCCCCTCTGTGTGCTTCAGGCTTTGATGTCCCATAACTTGACAGAGAACTTATTGTTAGGAATGCTCAAGTGAAATTAGAGAGCTGTTTTTTTGCCTGGCTGGTTTTTCCTGGCCTAGTTTGCCACATCGGATCTGTTGTCTAGCCGAGGTGCTGCTGAATATCTGTGCTGCAGTTCCGCTCCGCCTTTACCAGTGAAATGCCCATTTGTTTAATTGGCTGCTGCTCAGCAGACAGGCCTGCCACATTGAGCACTGGTGTGTAGGCCAGAGAGGATGGATGTGGCTTGACATGACCTTATTAGCATGCACTTACTGCGCGAGAATGCACTTACAGCGCCGTCTCCTTGGTGATGCAAACAGGCGGATTAGCTCTGCCCAGACATGATCAATTTTAATTTTCTGGTGAGTGCAAGAGAGCGCAACTCGCGAGCTTCCATTACGCCGCTCAGGGCTTTCACACAATTAGCACAGACAAGCTTTTTGTGTATTATGGTTTGCGCACTGTCCTCTCATATTCTTTTAAAAACAGACAGATTTAACATAAAAATCAAGGTGTTAATTACATTTATTTTCAAATGATTACAAAAACATTATCATGGTGAGTGTTGAGGTAACTCTTACCTCCAGCGCATACACTGGACGGCTCGGCTGCTAAAATCTCAATGCAGGATTTCTTGATGATCTACAAAGAAAAAAAAGGAGTGCCAGAGTGCTTAGTACTGCATATACACAGACTTTTTACAGGAGCAATTGCATTCTGCAACCAAATTCACTCAAACTGAACTATTAACGGGTAATGCAGGAATGTCACTCTCTTGGATGCTGACAGCTCATCTAAATTGTTATGCTTTTATATCTCTTCATAAAAGCAGCATCATGTTTATATCTTCCAATTGCATCTCTTGCAATGTGACTTTATTTCTCACAGTGTGATTGTATCTCGCAATGTGACTTTTTATTTCACATTAGGCTTTTTTTATCCTGTAGTGTGACTTTATATCTCAAAATGAAACTTTATCTCACAATCAGATTTTTTATCTTACAATGTGTGTTTACATATCACAATGTGACTTTATATTTCACAATGAGACTTTTTTGTTTATCTTGCAATGTGACTTTATATCTCACAATAAGACTTTATCATCTTGAAATATCACTTTATTTCTCACAATGTGACTATATCTCGCAATGTGATTTTATATCTCTCAATGATAATTTATATCTCGCAATGTGACTTTATATCTCAAATGAGACTATATCTTGCAATGTGGCTTCATATCTCAAATATGATTTTATATCTCACAGTGTGATACATTATATTTTTTTCTACAAAAATATCAGACTCCAAATGGGTTAAACGGTTGCCATGGGATCCATGTTTGTTGTTTACAGCTGCAAGATGCCAAAAATCACAATTTTGAGAGTGACTCCTGTCTTTCGTACACACATGGAGGGATAATTTAGGTGATTCACTCTCTCATTTAAATGCAGCTGTCACTACCAATACTTTAACTTGTATACGTAGCCAAGGACAGAGAGAGAAACAGAGAAACTCACAGAGTCTATCATTCCTTCAAGGGCCTGGAATCCTCCAATTACAGGGAACACATGCTCTATGGTGTCTGCAATTGTGGCCAGCTAAACAAATAATACAATACAGGTTTACAGAGACACCTCCAATACAGAAAATATGGTTAAATTCTGAGGTGCCACTAAAGCAACTTATTGTGCAGTGGTGCTGAGTTACCTGTGTCTGGTTGAAGTCTTTTACACCCACACAGTATACAATAGCTCCCAAAGACCGAGCTCTCTGCGCCTGCACATAGATGGGCAACAAACAGTCAGCTCTATTGAGCAAATGCCACTGTCAATTACACATCTGCCAGAGAACATGCCACATCCGTTATGACATCACTGGCTTGTGTACTTGCCTCTTGCTGTGCTGTGACAAACTGATAGTCATTTAACTCCCCATCCGTCAGTGCTATGATCACACTGGCTGTCCCTGTGAAATAAACATCATCTCATTGAGGCTTGATTTTCCCAGAATAAAAGCGGAAGTGTGAATGAATAGCATGGTAATTCAAAGTGGCGTTTACCATAATTTCCGTGATATATCTGCTCATTTGCCTGCAGTTTAAAAGCAGATGTTTACAGCATTAATGCAGGAATTTTAACCATCGTAGAATCAAAAGATTAGAAGATTGGTGTTTGAGTGATTAGTACTCAATATACACAGACTTTTTATAGGGGTAACTGCATTCTGCAACCAAATTAAAACAGCATTAATGCAGGAATTTTAACCATAGTAAATCAGAAGACTAGAAGATGATTCAGTGATTGATTTAAATTGACTCATTTGATTCAATAAGAAAAAGATACCTGTTTCAATCCAAGATTCATATATGTATCACCTCCTGGTATTTCTCTCTTCAAAACATTTAAGCCTCTCGTAATTTCATTTCTGAATGACAGATGATGGAGGAAAGTTATTACAATGCAAACAAACAATATGTGTATTTCTGTGCAACATTAACATTGTTTTGGATGCTGATGTGTGTGATACCTGTTCTCTGTGAGTTTCATAACTGTTGTTCCGTGAGTTGAGAACACAATGAAGGATATCCGTAACATTGGGCTGTAAAAAAAATCAAAAAAATAATAATATCGCATATTGTTCCTTAAAGGTATCACAATATGTATGTACAATAGTACATCAAAACTAAAGCAACTTTACCTTATAAATTTCTCTGCAAGATGCTCCACAAAGGAGTAAATTTCAATCCAGTGGTTTTTGACACTTCCTGACCTATAATAAAATCAAACATGTTGAAAAACTGCATGCTTCAAAGAGTCAGAGGCACTTCTGTGCATTATAATGGCTGCCTTAAACACAATTACATAACAATTACCATCTTTTCTTACACTATCTGAGAGTAGCAGGTCCTTGAGTACTCTATAAAATGCGCACATGCCACTAATTAATTACAGGCCCCAAAGCATTCCCAACAAGGGCTAATTGCCTTTGTGCCAGATGAATCTGCCTCCTGCTAGCAGAGAGCAACTCCCCTTCTTCCTGGAGCCAGCCATTTGAATGGGAACAGATGGCAATGGTTGAGTGTAACAGGTTGGGGTCCAAAATAGAGCTGGCATCTACATCAGCATCCAAAAAGGCTCACAGCTCCATCTCTGACAGGGAGTCAGGAAACATAAAACTGGACATGTGGATCTAGCAACAACAGCAGCAATCAACGCTAATCTGATGTCAGTTCTAACCACACCTGCAATTTTATATATTGATATACCATGGCTCCAAAATGGACATTTGGGCCACAATTGCAAAAAAACACATCACAAAAAGTACTTAAAATAGATGTATGTTGCTGCATTAGATTATAAAATGTGAAACAAATGGGCATTTATTTTAAAGAAACACAGCACAAGCACAAAAAGAAAGTTTCAGTTAGTCAGCTTAAAACAATATATGCTGTTCAAAATCAAGACAAAAAGCAATTGGAAACTTTCTGGCTGTAAAATCTTAGTGGAAAATGTCCATAGTTAATGGGATGAACTACAGCTGCTAGTTACTCTGCACCTGTGTGTACTAAAGGGGAACTGACTCCATATACTGCATCCAAATCCCTTTAAGACCAACTGGTTAAAGTAAAATGGCAACAAAAAGTAGTTAATTCAAAGTCGAGCATAATTTGTTTGCAGATGACACATAAATTTGATATTTTGTTATACAATGAAATGACATTCAGACATTTTAAGTGTGACATTCAGACATTTTAAATACTTTTTGGGGCCACTGAAATAAGTCATTAACTTGAATACAGTGTGCAGCAGTCTAGAATAACAAGACTGTGCTGGTTTCCTTTAAATGTAGCTTGATCCTGGATTTATCTATTATCCTCTAAACTAAAATCAATCTTCAGCAAACCACTGACTCAGAATATTGTTATATTAAGAATCGCTAGCTCTGTCCGCTCTAGGAGCCGTAAATTAAAAGGAGTCACACACAGTGACATGAAACTAGTTCTCGTTCCACTGATAATCAAATGTATGTTCTCTCTGAAAAGCAATGGAGCTGCTTTTCTTTCCAAAACTCTCTGAACCGATGGCCTGATATTTACAATTAATGTAGGGTCACTGAGTGGCATTTAAGGCCTCGAAAATTCAGCCAGAACCATTCAGCTGATTAAAAGTGTGGAAGTGTGGCAAAAGTCTGATGATGCATGCAATCCCTTAGGTCTCTAAAGGCATTCAGAAAACTTTACAAACAGAAGAGCAAACTGTGAAGTGTAACTAAAATGCATTTGCACTCCAAACATAGCAACAAACGGTTATAGCTGGAAGAAATGACTATGTTTTTAAAATGTATCTTAATTTTGTTCTGCTATACTTATTTAACCGTATCCCTTCAGATTTAACAGATTTCACTAAATAAGCAAAATTATTGTCTAAACTGTACAGACATTGCTACTGTATGTTGCTCTAGAGCAGGGGTGTCCAAACTGCGGCCCGTGGATGAATGTTAAGCGGCCCGCAGCTGTTTTAATAGTCTATATTATATATGGCCCGCCAAGCATAATTTACAAAATAGGCCTATTCCAATCCGGCCCCCTTTAGGAAAAGTTTGGACACCCCTGCTCTAGAGCTTATACTTCATATTTGACTCAAATCTGATGGCCACAAAAGGTATTCATTTATAACATTCTCTAGCATGCTCCAGCATGTTTAAGCTTGTTTGGGTATTCACAACTCCAAGGGGCTAAAGAATTATGAGTAGGATGCCACTTCTCACTCTTCACTTACACTCACTAAGAGCTCATTACACATTTAAATATGAATATTTGCATTCTGCAAAAATAACATGTAAACAACTGGCTGCAGTTGTAAGTTGCAATAAAAATACAGTATATGCATTTTTATTTATCTAGAGACACTTTTTTTTTTTTTAGAAACGGGTATTTGTATAGCTAACTAATAGTGCATGCATGCTCTTGTGATGAGATCTCTCTTTGTCTTTTATGATTGAGAGATTATGATACGCAAATGTGCATGTGAACATCACCAGGTGAGAGAAAATCATGCTTGTTAAAGCATCGCCCGAGGCAAAGAGTCCTGTCCTCCAATTCGCCGCCGTCTAAAGCCATTTAACAAAAACTTCAGGAATCCACCATGAGGAAAACCATAAGCACTTTGCATGTTAATAGAGAGTGAATGGTTAGCTGTTTATATGGATTTTGAATTTTGCTCGAATTTCATGTCAGTTCATCCTGCCATATGCATCCTGGTCTCCTTTAGGAATAGATATTTTCCCACAATATATCGCCAGACGTTTTCTGGTAGAATATACCTAGAAATGAATATCCATTTAAAAATATGGATGAATTGTTTTCATATTAAAGCATCTGGATCAATTTAATTCTGTTATTCGGCTGTCTAAACGAATGACTGTGGTTATAATAGCGGTGCACGCGCGTTTGAGGGCGTCAGAGGCGTCGCGCAGCAGTGCGCGGTGAGAGGAGAATAAGATGCCATAAATATGAAGGCCACTTACTTGTCGAGGACAAAATATAAGTCGAAAGCACCTTGACAAGACCTCTTCTCTTCCTCAAAATAAGGCTCAGCTTTTCCAGTAGGAAACTGCATCAAAACCACTAAAACACCCACAGCAAGACTCATGTGAATCAGTGAACATGCCATTTCATCAGTTTATTCTCTCCAAAAGCACAGGGATAAAACTGCATTTCATGTTACTCCTGCAGAAAAGGAAAACAACTCTTTTCCATGAAATTTATTCCTTAAACAAGATATTTGAATGTCTTGTCACAGAGTTATATCCCGACCCGCAGTCATCTGAGTCCGCTTCCAAAACACAGAAGCTCCTCCTCAAGGAGCAATGTTTGGAGGAGCGACCACAGACCGGACGGCGAGCAGGCAGCCAACAGCTACTGAAACTTCCTCTTTCCGGGAGAGGGAGAATTTTGGCTTCAACGAAATTCCTTCAATTTTATTTGATATTATGTTATTCGAATCACTCAAGCTTTATATATAATGAGTAAAGTGAAACATTTTTGAAGGTGTACCTTTTTTTCTGAAATAAAATGATCACTAAAGCACTCTTATTTTTTTCCCACCACCATGTCCCTTTAGGGGCTCGTATTATCCAGACATATAATTTGTTATATACTATATACTGCAAAAAATCAATTATTAACTATTTTATTGTAAAATTTAATTTCTTCTAATGTCAAATATGTCCCACTATCAACAGGTAGATCCCGAGGCGATGAAAGGTTCTCCATTAGTAGTTCCTTGGCTGCGGTTAGTACAGGCTGCAATGAGCGCAGAAGACCAGAATACTGAGGCCTACTTGAAAGGAGGACAGCTGCACTTTCAGACTATTCGAGATGTGAAGCAAGGGGAGGAACTGCTTGTTTGGTACGATGAGGAGCTGTCACATCTTTTGGGGTTCAAAGACATAAAGACAAAAGCCCTGACAGATGGTGAGTATGGGTTGCTTTTTTATTTAAAAAAATTAAATTTTAAGAATAAAATCATTATTTAATGCTCAAATAATTTGTTAATGTACCTTAAAATTGGTTAGAAATGTCATGAAATATTCATTCATAGGTCAGTGACAAATATCTATATCTAATAAAATAGGTCTAAATTGCAGCTCTTCAAAACTTTTGCACAAGTACTTTGGTATTATATTTAATTTGAATTTTAATTAGCAGTCAAGCAATTTTGCTGTAAAATATTTATTTGTAAATTATTATTAATATTTAAGAAAAAAACTATTTTTATACCAAAGCAAAGCTACATGCAGGAAGCCATTTTGTTGTCATGTGACACGAAACATTGAACACAGAGGGTCCTTTAGACCCTTGTGAATATTTGGCAACAACAAAAAATGTAACGTTTTTTTCATGATTCAAAAATGTATTACATTTGTATTTAATATGCAAATGTAATATATAAATGAATTGTTTGTAATAAATGAGTTTGTTACTTAAATGAATTGTTGCTTAAATGTTAAGTGTCCTATTATTGTTATCATCATCGTGGTCTGACAGCGCTTGTATCTTCATATGCAGGCTATACATGTACGAGATGCGGTCAGGCCTTCAAAAACGAAAACCCTTTCCTTGCCCACTGTCGTTTTTTATGTGTGCAGGAAAAAGTAGATATTTTTCGACCAACCAACGAACAGAAACAAGAAGTCAAGCGACAGCGCAAAATCATAGATTTTCACAACATTGCAAGAGATCTGGAGCACAAAAAGAACGGTCCTTCTGAAGACATGGGCATACCTAGGAAAAGAAAACAAGAAGGTTCCTTAAGTCCCCGGAGCAAAAAAACTGTGTTATTGGAGAAAATCAACATCACTAATTACAGCAACACCGCCCACGTCAACACAGACGGTCCACCTTTTCAGGATTTGTCAGAATCAGGCAAATTATCAACAAATGAGCCAAAGAGAAGTAAAAGCAGCGCATTTACCGAGGTTAGAAAACCATCAGAGCAGTCAAACCCCGAGCAGACATCACGGGATGTAGCGGCGTCTGAAGTAGGCCTGCAATCCAACTGCAGTGCATTCTCGTTCGTTGTGCCCAAGAGCGCGCACTCGGAACAGAAGAGCGCGTTCTGTGAACCCAACAAACGCACCATCACCGAAGTTCAGAATCCTTCACCACCAGATTCGGATAATATCTCAGACTCTTTCCAATCAAAACCTGCACTAGGATACAGAAATGTATTGGCTTCGCACCTGTTTCACGCTGACTTGCCAAGCGCTCATGCAGGTGGAGTGATGACCGCTCCTCTGGCTACAGGAGGATCCTTTTATTACGCGCCCGAGCATTGGACCAGAGCTATAGGTGGCCAGCTACAGTCTACTTCTTCTTTGACACTTTTGCCCCCTACTTTCACACCACGGGGTGTTTCAGTGCAGAACTGGTGCGCCAAATGCAACCTCTCATTCCGAATGACCTCCGACTTGGTGTTTCACATGCGGTCACATCATAAGAAAGAGTTCGCCGCAGAGGCTCTGGTGAGGCGGAGGAGAGAGGAGAAACTCACCTGTCCCATCTGTCACGAGTACTTTCGAGAGCGTCACCATCTCTCACGTCACATGACATCACATAATTAAGAAAAAAAAAAAAACCTCTATCGCACTTTAACCAGGTACATAGAAGTTATTATTTAAAATGCATTGCCCATAAATAATGCATTTATACTGTGATTTATATAACACCTTTGCGCCTACCTAGCTGACAAAAATATGTTCTAAGACCGTTTTGCTAACGTTAACATTGAGTTATGAAAACGTTATTTCTTAGGGTTCTCTGACTATTCGAAACGTTCAGTTTTTAAATGCGTTGGTTATACGAACGTTAAGGGAACATTCCATTTTATCATATTGCAAACATTATGGGAACGTTAGTTTTGAATATTCTTTGAAACAAGTTCTAAAACAAGTAGTAGACGAACGTCCAGCTAAAACATTTCAAAAACATTCCAGCTAAAACGAACATTCAAGTTTTGAGAACATTACTAAATACCAGATCACTTTGTATGAACATTATATTAACGTTACTGGTTCAGGGGAAAAAAACGTTGAGAGAACCTTGCCAGAATGTTTTGAGAAAATGTTCTGTTAGCTGGGTAGGTTGCTATTGGACAGGGGTAGTATTTTTCTGTCGCAATACAGAAAAACGTGAACTTTTCAACCATTTACCTTTGGTAAAAAATCATTATCTTTTTCTTCAAAGGTCATAGTCATTTCAGCAATGTAGTCTTTGAAACGGTGGGCTTTGGTAGTGCCATTCAGGGTAGGACTACATCGCCACTAGGTGGCTATAGACATGCATAACTTTCTCTTTAGAGATAGCTGTACCTAGTACATTTAGTTGTGACTAATACTGTTGAATTGTCTGGTCATTTTCAACTTAACAGTGCCTTACAAATGTCAGGATGAGTAGCCTACATGTAAATGCTCTTGAAAAACGGTAGAATAAAATGCTCCAGCATTTTTAGATTTGCTAACAGCTGACTAAAACTATTATAAACTAATAACATTGCTTTGTAATGAGATTTTATATTTGAAATATCCATCACTTCAAAATGCCAAAATTTTTGTTGCAATGTTCTTTTCAGATGTCTACTTCTTTTTAACATTTATATCAGCACAACGACAAGGAGGATGTGTTTATTTAAATATTTCTTGTTCTGTTCTTTTTAAAAATTTTTTTTAGATAAATACAGTCATTGTATTTCATTAAAGATATTGAACATATTCCCCAGGTGTTTGCCTCTGATTTTAGCCATCCAAAAATATGAATCATATCAAGTACCACTTTCTTTTAGAGAACAGTGACACTGAGATGATTCTAGTAGTTCAATGTAGTTTTGTTTAGTCAATGTAGTTGTAAAATAATTTTTAAAAGTATGTTTAGGAAATAAAGTGTCAGTTTGTATTTAAAATACTAACTTACAGAGAGAACTTTCTTTAAAAATAATGAGGTTGACAAGTTTTTTGAAACAGTGGTGTAACACATACACTCACATGCACTAACACTGAGTGACCGGTAGAGTGCACTCTCTAGCAATTCTGAAATCCCTGAAGCCTCATGACTCTCACAAAGCAGCTGTTGTGATGCGAGAATGGTGATCTTCGCCATATGCACAATTCCTAAAAAGTTAGTTTTACTTTTTTTGTTAAAGCCCCTTGCAAGTCTCCCTTTAATTATAGGCATAAAGTCATAGGTAAACTCAACACTCTGAGAAAGTTCACCAGTTTTGACATAACCTCGAAGTTCAAAGGACGCCCGTCTGTATTTAGCTATGAACATTCTGCTTATTCAAGAACGTAAATACTGAACTTCTGAAGACATTAGATTGAATGAAACGATGTGTATACACTGGCCTAATATTGGTGCAATTAGAAGCCCAGCGGTCTGTTCCTGACGGCAATCACTCGAGGAAAGAGCCATTTCATACACACACAAAAAATCCTGTGTTCGCTCTAAAGAGCATCTTTCATCGCTGCCATTAATTGATCAGGCCTCATTTGGAAAACTAAATATTGACTTTGGTTTTCAGTAACTGTTGAGTTTTTACATTTTGACCAAGCCTCTGGTGTCCTATAGCTACAACTGATTTAAATATTAAAGTGCTCCCCAGGAAACTAAACATTTCCTAAAGGGGACTCATCTGATCTGAGCGTTTTCCCTCAGTGTTTCTGGGCAGCTTTAGTGGATGTTGGCGTTACATTCTCACATTCTTCTGTTATTTTATGGTCTCTGTGGGAGAGCAAGTGATCTACAATTTAACAAACCTCATTCATGCCGACACTGTCAAAACTAGCCTGAGAGGAAAACAGCTTTTGATTACTTTGGAGGCCATTTATCATCTCATCAGTTTGGTTGCCGCCAAATTCCTAATAAATTAGTCAGTTGTTGATAACTCTACTTAAAACAGTTTTACCTATCAGTGGTTTGCTGGTCTTCCAACCTGGTCAGGTGGTTTTAGAGAGGTTTGTCTGCTGGTGAGGCTTGAAGGCTAGCTGGACTAGTTAAAACCAGCACTAGGCTGGTTTAAACAATTGTTATTTTCAGCTAAATTATTTTATTAATTAATAATTGTATAAATTATTTTAATACAAAACAAGTTTGTGAATGTTTTTGAATTTATATTTGTAGAGATAAAGTGTAGTGTAGTGGTAAAAGCAGCAGACACATTCACATCTCTTCAGCCTACACAACCAAACATGTTGACATCTTCAAGGGTCTCTTTTCACACACTGCACAGAGAAGCCATTCAACACTCAACGTCACACAAAGGACAGA